GCAAATTACAAGATTAGACCCAACCTTAAAGTTTTACTTAAGTTTACACTAGTCTGCTACTACAGACATTAATATATATTTGCTTTTTAGATTCATTGTTAGTGTTTTGCCACCATGGAAACAAGCCCACATTAGCTTGCAAAGGTGAGCTAACAGTTAGCTAGCTAGCTAACTCCTTGATCATAACAGAATACAGTAACATTAACTTTAAGTCCTGCTCATTTTAGAAAGGCCACGACAAGAAAATGTGTTCTTTGTGTTCTTTGACTGTCAAAGGGACAGTGAGTCATAGATGTTTGTTTCTGGCTGCCAGAGTTAGTGGGCTAGCTGTAGCGCATTAGCATTAGCATGCTAACACTTGCATGCTAGCCTTAGCGCACTAGCCTGTAGCCTTAATTTTTCTCCAGTATTGTGTCCGCTGACAGAAAGTATTGCATAATGGAAGTGAGGCTTATGGGGAACCAATCTGAAGCACACGGTAAAACAAGAACACCTTTTCTATGGTGGCCTTTTTAAATGAGCAGTAGGGGAAGTTATTAACTTAAATGATCAAGCAATGATAAGTAAAATAGCATTAACTAGCTAGCTAGCATGCTAGCTGGTTAAAAGGTTGTTGACTTCCACTTTACTGTAAATGTCATAATTCCCATATTTAAAAGGCACTAGCAAAATATCTGGGGATACACCAGACAATTTTTGGGCTATATTGTCACAGCAGATGTGTCGACACTCTTTTTTTATATTACCATTTCTTGTTGCACACATTCATGATATGGTATATGTATTCTCTACAACTCACTTTAATTTCTGTTAGCAAGTCTGTTGTAATGCCATGTTGCCCTAAAAAGTAACCCAACCTCATGTATGTTCACAAGGCCGCAGATCCATTCTTAATGGACCACAAGTGACTTGCAAACATGTCAAGTTTGTAAAAAACACACTTGACTCAATAATTCAATCAATAAAAGAGCTTTTATTTTTAAGTGCTGTTTCCTGCTGTAGTGTGAGTGACTGATAGACAGCTACTTCAAAGTGACAGCAAACTAGCTCGATGACATGGTCAAATGCAAGTATGACACTGAATATATTTAACTGCGTGGACCTTGAAGTAATGGAGAAAGGCATCTTACATCTTACAAATAGCCTGTAACTCAAGCTGCGCCAGTTTTGGACCTTAATAAAATGTGAACAAAAAAAGACAAAAACCAATGATACAAGGATGCATCCGTGCTTTCGTGTTGTTTTAGCCAAATTCTGACCCTACCATCTGAATGTCGCAGCAGAAATCGAGACTCATCAGACCAGGCAACATTTTTCCAATCTTCTATTGTCCAGTTTTGATGGGACCGTGTGATTTGTAGCCTCAGTTTTCTCTTCTTAGCTGACAGGAGTGGCACCTGGTGTGGTCTTCTGCTGCTGTAGCCCATCTGCTTCAAGGTTCAACATGTTGTTCTTTCAGAGATGGTCTTCTGCATACCTGGATTGTAACCAGTGGTTATTTGAGTGACTGTTGCATCTCTGTCATCTTGAACCAGTCTGGCCATTCTCCTCTGACCTCTGGCATCGACAAGGCATTTTCACTCAGAAAACTGCTGCTCACTGGATATTCTCTCTTTTTCAGACCATCCTCTGTAAACCTTAGAGATGGTTTGACGTGAAAATCCCAGTAGATCAATAGTTTCTGAAATACTCAGACCAGCTTATCTGGCACCAACAACTGTGCCACATTTAAAGTCACTTAAATCAACTTTTTTTCCCCACTCTGATGCTGGGTTTGAACTTCAGCATGTCATCTTGATGCCTAAATGCATTGAGTTGCTGCCACGTGATTGGCTGATTAGCTATACGTGTTAACACACAGTTGAACAGGTGTATCTAATTAAGTGGCCGGTGTCTGTATATTTTAATGTCTGTAGTACCAGACTAGTGCAAACTGCAGGGCACTGGCTGCAGGGCTCTCTTTGATGGCTAACATATAAAATGTTGTTCTCAGGACAACAACCACTTGGCAAAATCAGGATGCACCTGTACTGACATGGCCTATACTGAAACTGATGAACATTTCCATACACACACAGCAGCCAGAGGAAGCAAGAGCCTAATCAATATTTTTATTTTAACTCCGCAGTTCCTCACAGCTCTGCAGAGTCTTATAACATCTTTCAGCTAATTGTATTGGCTTTCTGATTGGCAAGTTGACTGTTTTGGTTCAGTATCACTGTTATCATCCGAATTCTTACGAAAGACATTTTATAGTCACGACAGCAGGACTGGTATTATTTTCACCTTGAGAGTGTGTGAGTGATCATGGCAAAATGTGGAGACACCTAGTGTAGCAGGAACTACCACAGAAGTGGTTTTAAGTACTTTGCCAGGTGTTTATATGCCAGTGGACAGATTTGGTCAACACAGTAGCATCACAATCATGCAAGATGCAGTGAGCAAAGACAGGTGTGGGCCAAGCAACAGTGCAGAAAAAAGAGGGGTTTGATGTAGGGAAGGAGGCTACTGTTGTGGATCAGCATCGTGGCTGGTATGATCCTGTTGCAAGATGTTCTTTAGTTTTTCCTCTTTTGACCTTAAAGGACACATAAGGACAGCACACAGACACACACAGAATGTAATTTGTATGTATATATTGGGGCACACGTTGTTTCTAATATGACAGACCACAGTGAAACTGTCATCCAGATGTGTCTCCACAGACACTGCACCGTTCTCATACGGGGTAAAAATGAGCCAACACAGTATGCGCCACCTCTGACAACAATCAGATCTTCCTTTCAAATCTTTGACATCGCGTCTTGAAAAATTGACACTCCCCTTATTGACCCGATTGTGTCTTTTAATAGGTACCTCTCAAACATGCAGACAGATAAATGTTTAGAGGTGAATCATGGGTGAAGGACTCATGAGTCAGACGTGGGTTATGTTATTGTCTTACGCTTAGTACCACCAGAGAAGACGATGTGGTGGTCTGCACATGTGACATCAGTTTTCCTCAGGTGGCTTAAAAACAAGTGGTCTTATCTCAAAGCATACACATCATATGTGGTTCTCCAGTCAGACGTTTGCATTGAGTGCTGCCGTGCCTGAGGTCAAGACATAAACTTAAACATTAGTTTAAGAAACGGCTGGGGGACCTCCCACACTATAGGATATGAGGATGATCCTGGAGCTTGGTGTCGATACCACCATGGGCTAATGCTTCTTGTACACAGTCTCAACAGACTGTACCAACACACAGTGTTACCCCAAAGAGCCCAGTGACAGCCGAGAGCCTGTTTTTGACGTTACAATGCTCTTCTGTAGAAACTGTGGAAACTCCTTGAAAATGGCGTTTTAATTGAGGAAATTGAGGTAATTTCTACAGTGGTATTGTGTTTGTTTGTTTATTGTTACATGCCCAACACACACATAAACACAAAAATGATGTAATGTTTGCTTTGCAATTTACAGAGTACACATTTTACTGGCGTATTTATCTTTCTTAAAGAGATTGTTTGCTTTCGCTCATTCTTTTCCCCTCCTTGTTTTAGGAAGTGTAATGTTTACTCTATTAACAAAACCCAAGAAAAACATGTCTGTTGTTAAACTGTCTTGTACACAGGTAAGTTTGTTTGGAGGGGTGGAGATCAACACATTTGTCAAAACCTAATTTTCAACAAAAAAATCATAACATAATTTTTCATTTTCATTTTGCTCAAGTTTATTATTGGGCAAGGACTGTGTATTTGCATTATGGGTGTCAGTGAGGCTGTTCAGTGACAACTTACATCCTTGATAAGTTATGTATGAGTGTGTACGTATGTGTGTGCAGGAAGTCATCGTCACGCCTTTTTAGAGCTGCTAACTGCGGTTGCTAATTTTTTCCAACATGACAAGAATGTAATTATGAAGAAAACACTGTTGTGTGTGTCTGAAGGCCTTCCACTGTGGTGCTGTGGCAATCATCCTAATAAAGGGCATCACTAACTGGTCTGGGGACTGCTCTGCCAGATGACAGAGCCCGAAGGAGATTGGTGCACTCAGCAGAGCGTTCCATCGGATCAACATTCACTGTGCAGGACTTACACACCAGAAAATGCAGAACCAGCACTACTGAGATTATGAAGCATCCTCACCACCCCAGCAAAAGACTACCAGCTTCTTAGTCGAGACACTAAGATAAAGCTTCTTTCCTCAAACCGAGCTCAATACACTGACCCTGCATATTGCATATTTGTGCTCCACTAAAAAGTCTTATTCTTACATTTATTTTTTTATAATCCTTATTTTCCACACTACTCTTTTAGCACAACCTTGGGAGCACGCCTCATTGCATTTCACCACACATATAACTTGAGTATGTGACATATAAACCATTGAATCCTGATTCCTTGACTTTATGTGTATGAAAGCCTCTTAACAGTGCAGTAAGTGGAAGAAAAGTCAGACAGGCACATTGCCCTGACACACTGGGTGTTTCCTTTTTAGCACAGTATTCAGAAAAGAATTTCCTCTCTGGCTTTTAGACTAGTAAAGGGATTTTTGAACCCAGTTGCTTTGTTGTTGTTTTTTGGTCTATTTTCCTCCTGTTAATGTGGCAGTTAAAACAAAGGTATCATTTTAGAAAAATGTGAATAATAAACCATTTGCTCAAGTGCAGTCTGACTCTTACAAATCTCATATTTTCTAAGGGCAACACGTCAATCACAGAGATTAAGGAAATTGGTTAATTTCCGAATAGAAGACAAAATACAAAATCTCATTTCCTTGTGTGTGTGTGTGTGTGTGTGTGTGTGTGTGCATTCTCAGCTAATGGAAACGGACCAAAATGGGCATTCGACTTTGCCCAAACAGACCTGTGTGTGTGTGTGTGTGTGTGTGTGTGTGTGCGTGTGTGTGCGTGTGTGTGCGTGCACAGAGGGCAGGACTGGGCAGTGGGAGTGTATCAAAGAGAATACCATATATAAGACATCAGGGGTAGTCATGCTTTAAACATCCATCCATCTGTTTATCAGTCCATCAGTTAGTCCCTCTGCTCTCCATCAGTACTATTCAGGTTTTAGTAGCTTGTCTCCTCCATCATGCTGGTTCAAGCTCTACTCCAGACCTCACTGGTTCTCTGGTTGGTTCAGCAAACTCTGCAAGGCGGTAAGAAAAAAAATGGGGATTTTATAAGTAAAGACAGAGCTCTGGTTGTATACTAATATCACAGTTTGATTAAAAAAAATCTTCAGTTTTTGTCAAACTTTGGGTTATTATTTGAACTGTTTAATTCCTCTACTAGCCTCTCATGTTAATTAGTACAAATATTATGCATAATCACTTAAAATTATCAAATTTATGTGTTTTAATTAGTGAAGTTTTCAGATTCTTGTGGATACTATCCATCTTTGTGTAATCTTTAATTTAGCTTTTTGGTTGAAAAAGATGTAATCATCAGGTTCAAAAAGATAATATTGCCACAAAACTGATATATTTTTTGTAGTTTAACAAACATGTTTTATCTTTATGACTTAATCAAAAATGTATAGCACAGTCTGGTTATTTCTGCACAAACTTGGAATATTTTAGTTAGCACTGATAAGTTTCAGGATAAGTTGTCACTTTATCAAAGAGCTTAATATACAGTATGACTTTACCTTGAAACTCAGATGGATCTTGAGCTGTTCACTCTCACTTACTTGCTAAATGACATGTCTGTGAGATTGAGGGAGAAAAAAAAAAGCTAGTGGACTATGTGGGCTCCACCATCAGTGAGTCACTGCGGTTTATATTATCTAATTTCTTTGAATCAAAGGATGCGATGAAAAGGTGGCAGAGGCAGGTAAAATCTGACAACCAATTGTGAGAAAAATAGACTCCACACTGTCGCTCCATTTTGTCTCATCCTCTGTTTCCATCAATGGATATCTGTTCTTCTCTCCTCAACTGTTGCCAGGTCTGGATGCAGTATTTATGAGACACTATGGTGGCATTTGTAATACTCAGTTGTTCAAAGATATGTCATCGGTGTCTCAAGGTACTTACCCTACTGGGGAAAGTTTTTAAGGAGGTAAAGTTAGTCAAAAGATTCAAATTATTTACAGTTACAATACATTGTCTCCAGCGAGTTGTGTGACACAGCATGTCAGTTTTGTAAAAAAAACTATTAAGTAAACAGGAATCTTTACTATACAGAGAAATCACTGTACCCTCACTCCAAACTGAAATTATTTTTGAAGACAAATAACTAACTAAAAGACTCGCATAATTATTTTTTCATGTTCAGTTTTGTCTACACTTGCACATTGTTTGTTCACACTGTGCATCATAAAAGCTTCATCATATGCATTATTATCATTTCCATACAGTGAATGCAGGGTTAATCGGTGGTGGAAGAAATAATATGATATTTAACTTAAAAAGTAGCAATACTACAAAGTAAAAGTCCTGCATTACAAATCTTATTTAAAATGACAAAATTATTTGCATCAAAATTTACTTAAAGTACCAAAAGTAAAAGTACTCATTAGGCCTATCTGTAATGGCCCAATTAATGGGTATGCCTACATGTTGCAGGGGGTATAGGTGGAGCTAAATTTGATGACTTAATACACTGTTGTGTACTTTAACCCATAATAATCATAATGTATTCCTTGACTTAGCCTGTATTTTGCAGTAATACTCTAAATATACAAAGTAACTAGTAATAAATCTTTAAACTAAATGTAGTGGAATAGAAGTATAAAGTAGCATAAAATGGAAATACCAAACTAAAGTACAACTTGTAGCCTATTTAAGAACAGTACTTTTGTAAATGTACTTAGTTACTTAACACCACTGGGATTAGCATGTGTTTTTATTAGTCTGTAAATTTGAGCATTTTTAAAGTGCTTTTGTGTACTTTCTATTTATTTATTTATGGTCTATAAATACAGTACACTGCATAAGCCTTTTTTTTAGTAATTTTTAAAAAAAAAAAAATTTTATATGTATATGTAACTTTTTTTATTTTTCTATTTTTTCAGGGGTTAAACCTCAAAGTGTATCCTGGGGGAGAGTGCTGCCAGCCAGAGGTAACATTAAGCTACAAATGTTTTGTTTGAAATATATGTTTTTTTAAGTTACTCAAACATGTCTTTGTGTTTAAATCACTGTGGAAATTGGAGAATGGTAGTTTTTTCTCCCTTCATGACCATGACCATCTTTGAAGGTCAACTATTTGAGTTTTGAAGTTTTGGGTTCGTTAGCTTGGAATGTTAGCAAGACTAGCTAATGTTAGGCTACTAGCTGATGTAGACTATCCACTTTTGTCTTAGTTTGTAGCCACAGACCAAGGCTTCATGATATTTTTAACCCCTGCCTGGAAACACTAATAACAAAACAAGCACTAGGGATGCACAATAATTTTGGCATGTCATTGGTATCAGCCAATATTGGCTTTAAAATGAAATTTTACTGTGTTTTTTATTGTGATATGGATCCCCCTGGGTCTGAAATAAAGAATGAATAAAATATCAGAATTGGCCGACATGCTTTTTCTTAATTTGCACTATAAATTAATATTATTTACATTGAAAATTATTGTATTTCATGTCTCAATCTGCTGGTGGGCCATCACGACAAAAGTATGCATGCATAACATGGTGTTAATTCCACTACAGAAGAGACTTGATGATCATTGAAATTAAAAGTGGATATACTGATAGGTATTGGTTATCGGTTATCAAACAAATGAATTGTTAAATATCGGCATATTGGATATCAGCAAAAATTTGTGCTTCTTCTTTTCTTGACTCTGTTTTGGTTTTCGGCAGGTGTTGGCGTTGGAGTAAAGCCTGGAGGTCAGTGGTTTTCTAAGCATGCATTAACCATAAGCGTTACACCAAATTGTTAACTAATGACTTAAGTACAGATACCCTACGGTGCATGTAATTACGTAGAAAAAATTGCGCCCCATGATTCTCACCTTCACCAACTGATTTATAAGTTTGTGGACGTTGTGTTGGATGTGCAACCCTGCAGATTTAATGTTACAGACAAGTCAGGAGAATAAATAAGGAGTAGATGTCCAGATGTGATATTTTTTGTAATGTGCATAAAATATCAAACTTACATGTATAAGGCATCATATAGATGTATTGTAGGTAACATACCTGGATGTTGTAGCATGTGAAATAAGTTAGGTATCAGACATGTCCTGAAGGTTTAAATTAAATGCTAGTTATCACGTTAAATGGGCTTTTGACATATTTACATAATGAATGTAAGGAAATCCATTGTCTTGTTTCAGTTAAGGACCAAGACTCAGGTGATGGACATTAAAGTTTGCCATAAAAGTCATTAACTGTCTCTTTTTCTACTCTTTCTCAGTTGCAGGTGCCCTTGGAGCATTGGGGAGCCGATATGGCACCAAAGCAATGAAGACTGGAAGTATGTTTAACTTTCTGCACACAGCATTGTGTTATATTACTTTCACTTCACATGAGTAATGTTTGTATTTTTTTCTTTTTAAAACCATAGTTGGACGTTATCCAGGTGCTCAGCTTGGTGTTGGTAAGTCGTCTTAAGAACAAATCCTTATATAATGCAGGTGGCAGCATCAGTAATCCTGCAATCAGTTCTCAGAGGCAGGGCAAACATAACAATACTTGAAGGAAACAAAAACAGAAATCTCTGTTTTTTTTATTTAGGTTTCTAAATGCTGTTCTTTTTTGGAGTCCAGGGAAAATCAGTCAAACTGGTGATGGTTTATTCATTTTAAGAATGGCTTTTATCTGTTTTTGCAAATGAACTCTTCACTTGTTGAGTTGTACACATAGGTATGATGCAGCCAAAAACAGTTTTACAGAGTTTGCCAGCTGGCAAAAGAAGACATTTAATCAAATTCAAATGCAAAATATTAAGGACCTCTTTAATTAATGAATATCAAACCAATAGAGTGCAAAAGTTTTTCCATTCTTTGAGATGAATTGCACAAAAACCAAACAAACAAAAAGAAAAAACGTCCTGCCAGTCGTGATGTAGAGAGATCTGTGTATTTAAGCCTGGATGATGATACCTTTTGGCAGACTCTTCTGTTCAACAACAATGTGAGATGTGTTCGTTTGATTGTTTTCACAGGTGGTTATAGAGCTCTCGGATTAGGAGGTAAAGCAGGCCTGAAGCAAGGTGGATATGGAGCCCAGGGAGGCTATGGTACGTCAATATAACCACTTATCAAACTCTCACAGCCTATTTACTTTTTATAATTTTCTCTTGGCTTCTCTTGTAGGTTACTGATTCACTCCATGTAGTTAATGAAATTGGTTTATTAAAATACTGCACATTTTGATGTGATAACTTTCTTGTGATTGCAGGTGCTGCTCTGGGCACAGGAATGGCACTAGGGACTGGACTTCCAAATGGACTGGGACTGGGTTTGGGCCAGGGAGGGAAACGTGGTAAGACTGATCTTTAAAGGAATATATCATAATCAGGGCCAGTGGATATTTCATATAGGTATATAGATACTGATGATGAGTCAACATGCTCAAACCCAGAATGTGTAGATGGATGTTGGAACCCTTAAAAGCAAAAACAGTCATAAACAACCATTAGTGGCAGCCAAACCTGCTGAATACATTCATAGAATAGGTAACACATTCATAAAACACAGTGTAAGTTTGATGAATTTCATTGACAGTTCAGCACTTGCAGATAAAAGCCTGACTCACTGCTGTTTGAAAAGCTGCCAGCTGTGATATTGTGGTGATATTAAAGGCCCTGAAAACCTATTTTATCAGCCTCTTACTATAAGCAGCAGGGTCTTACATGAATATCTGACTATGTTTTGCCATAGTTACAACAGTTCTCGTCATTTCACATGAGAGATTTTTGCATTCCTGTTTTTGTCTTTTTAGTTTTAGCTTCATTAAGCTACATTTGAATCTAAATCAGATGACAGCTGTAAGTAACGCTTCAGATGAAGCAGAATAGTGTAATATGTAAGTGTTAAACTTTCGTGTTTACCCCTAATAGCTGTAATCTGGTTCAGATTTTGGCAGCAAACTGTTAAACAGTTAGATGAAATCAGATATATGACAGGTGCTAATTCAATGAGCGAGAGACATGAAACTTTTGTCCTGAATGTTATTTCTTCTTAAAGGGGCATTCATATAGCCTAGTTATGCATGTCTTCCCTTTTGTATGTCTTTATCTTTACCTTTGTCTTGACAAGGATTGATTGTATTTTTGTTGGCATTACACTGAAGCAGTCTGTGTAATGTCTTAGGGAAAAAGAGGAAGGCAAGGACGAGGACAAGTCTCACATAAACAGTTGGGTTTTAGCTGTAGAAGTCTATTTAAATTAACTCAGTGTATTTCTGACTTTCAGTTTATGGTGCGGGCCATGGCACTCTGCCAGGTAAGTAATTATATAGTTCAGTGATTTCCTTATGTTGTTTGCCAAAATGAGAATATACACAATGATAGTACTCTCTTGTGCTTGTTTGCTTGATAAATCTCAACTAAGTGGCACTCTGCCATTGTCTGTGAACATGATATAAGGGGCAGATTGCATCTCAGCGAATAAATGATATGTCCTTGTAAAACAGAGAAACCCCGAGGACAGAAGTGACGTAATCAGAGTGCTTGTCGGAGTTACAGATTTGCTTTATGTCTTCTGAACTCAGCTCTTTGTTTTCTTGCCAGGATATGGGACTTTAGCTGGCATCGGCTATCCTGGAGCCCGACCAGGTAAGTGATGAATCAAGTCTTACCTAAGAACCCATTACTTCTTTCATTCAGCCCAGATTTGTCTGCTGAAGAGTATTTTCTTGTGTACCATTGTTTCTGCCACAAACACACACTTATGCTGTCAGTCATGGATAAAATCAGGTTTATCGGATTACACAAAAAAAGAATGTGATTATTAGATTGTTTATTGTCACATTCTGGGGTAGCTGGATAGTCTTGCAAAACCACATTTGACCTCTGTCCTGTTCCACTGAACTGAGCTCCTCATTGTTACAGAGATGCTCTTTGCAAACAAGTCAAAGACTTATCCAGCCACAGCATTGGCCTGGGTATCTCTTTCAGTTAGCATGTTGATCGAAATCAATGACAGTCCCCCTGTCTGCTATTATTAGGACCTGGACTTGGGTATCCCATCGGACAGAAGGCTAAGGAACAGAAACCTGGTAAAACCTTCACCACAGCAACTTGTGGTGTTTGTGTTTGTCAGTCTGTGTCTGTCTTTGTTCTGTGTTGTATTTGTCTGTGATTCACTGACTCTGAGTTTATGCTGGCCTTTGTTTGCATGAAATCACATCCATCTAGAGCTGGGCAATATGGATATTATATTGAAATTGTGATATAAGATGAGATATCGTTTTAGATTTTGGATATTGCAATATCATAAATGTCCTGGTTTTAAAGCCTGCATTACTGTAAGGTGATGTCATTTTCTCAACTTCGACTGTTACAGCTTTTCTTTTCCATTACCCACTGAGTCATATTATTTACATTCAAATGTGCTACTACTTTTTTTTAATCAAAAATCTAATTGTGTAGATATTTTGTGAAAGCACCAACAGTCAACCCAAGAATACAAGTGCAATATTTATATTGAGGTATTTGGTGAGAAATATTGTAATATTTGATGTTTTTCATATTGCCCAGCCCTATATCTATCTACTGTACCATTATTATCAGCTCCTCTGTTTCATTGTGTGTGCACAGGGCTGATATTTGACTGTGTTTGTCTATCAGTCTTTCATCTGTATTGCATGTTGCATGAGTTCCCCAACTCCTATTACCACAGTTTACAGTTAATCAGAGTTGATGTCTGGAGTACTTAGTGCAGTAGTTAACAAGACTACAAGACACTAACAACTTAATTTTTATTAAGATTAGGTAATAATTGTGAAAGCTGTATTTTGCACCATTATTTTGATGACTTACTTTATTTATACACCCCCTACAAATACTCTGAGCACAGTTCTGGTTCACAGTAATTGGGTTATAGAATGCTTGCAAACGTCTGTAGTTTCAAGAATAGTCTGACGAGTGAAACATTTTTCACAATTAAAACTTGCAGTTCACTGTAGGTTTCTGCTTTCATGTCCTCTCAGTGTTTTACTAAGCTTTGTTTGTCCCTTGTCTTTGTCACGCACTGATGCTGTCTGAGTGCCTCAAGTGGTGTCCTTGTTTTGTGCTGAAACACTGGTGTGTTTTATGGCATTTCAACAATTTGGGGTGGCAACATTGTGTTGCCATGTGTTGATGTCATTGCTCTGACTCAGTGAGAAGTACTGTGTGTGTCCTTCCAAAGTGTGGCTTCAGTTGTCTGTTGTCTCTGTTGTCTCAGTTGCAAATTATGGTGATGATTCTGTCCTGTGAAACTGGACTAATTTCAGGCCATAATGGATTTTGTCTTGTCTCTGTTTGGTCTTGAATTACCTTCATTTGATTCCTCTATGGATGATGTGTTATATTGCACTGAATGCCCTGATACACACATCAGTTGAAATACAGAACAGTAAATATATTTGCCACTGGCCTTACAGTGTACTGCTGACCCTCAAAGAAACACTGTTGTCTCAGAACCACCAAGAAGTCGTGAATGCATGATGATATTTCTCTGCCAGGTGTGTCTGCAGCAGATTTGGGTGGACCTCAGATGGCTAATCTGGGCCAAGCTGTTCCAGATCTGAAGAGAGAAAAGAGCAAACCTCATGGACCTGAAATACCCGACATGAGGAGAAGCAATATACTTACTGCTCCTGAATTACAGGCAGAAACTGGCTTTAGACCTGCTCTACTGCCTCATGGAAGAGACATCAAAAGCCTTGATCCAGCAGCCAAGTCATCAAGTCTTGGACCTATGACACCCCATGATAAACACAATAAAGGTCTTAGTCTGGCTGTTTCACAAGCACAAGGAGTAGAACAATATGAGCCTATGATGTTAGAAAGAATAGGCACAGCTAACCACGGAGCTGCACTGGCCGCTGGCAGTGTAAGACAGCAACTGCCTCTTGATAAAGACAAAATCAAAAGTCTGGCTTCTTCTTCCTCTCAGGTTCAGAGTTCAAGAGACTATGATTCATCTATCCAACAAAATCAGCGAGGCCCAAACTGTGGATCCACCCGTGATTTGTCAGATACATTAAGAATCAATCATGAGCTTTTGGGTTCAGAAACACAGAGGACTCAGGGTTTAGTGCACCAGCCACATGTCGGTAAAGACGGCAAACATCTTGGACATGCACATCTGCAAGTACAATCAGAGAGAACCTATCACCAGCCTCTTTCACAAACTCAAGACAGCAGAGGCAATATATTGTCTCTTCCACAAGGTCAGGGAACCAGAGGCTATTTGTCTGCTGTAGCAGATGGACAGGCCATCAAAGACTTTGTGGCTCAAGACAAATCTGGGCCTAGAATCTATGGTACTATTGCTATAGAAAATCCCAGTCATGGTTCTGTAAATCTTCAAGGACAAGGAAGGGGTGGCTATGGACCGGTGATCCCAGGTGCAGGTGGAACCCAAAGTTTAGGCATTGCCCCAGTAGAAGGGCAGAAAGCTAAAGGCTTTACTGCAGATGGTCAGAAATCAAAACACCTTTCTCATGGCGCACGTGATGTCACTGAGTCAGAAGCTCTCGGTATCCCAGGACAGACTGGGAGGAATAACCAGGCACCAAGTAAGAGCAAAGCTTTGTCTTTATACGCCATTGTAATATCTCTTTGTTCACTCTTGAGATCTACACTTTATTTTCCCCCCAAAATTCACCTTCTATCAGTTATTCAAATACTTAATTACAAATGAAATAGTTATTTTTCATTTGTTTCTGTATTTCTCTACCTCTGTTTGAATTTCTTTCTTGATTTACTAAGTAACATCATTTCTTTCAGGTGCTTGTTGTCGTAGGAAAGTAATGTCTCTATGAATCTATCTCCACTGAAGTGTTATCCCTGTTTTTAATGGACATCTAACTAATAATTCCTGATTTCAACACTGCTTAGAGATTAGTCTTTAGCAGGTTGGCTGCCGTCTTTAAAGTTTAAATGCAAACAAGAAACATTAGAAGTGGATTGCTGTCTGACTGCTGTATGACAAGCAAACCCTTGTCTTATCAATAGTTTGTCCATGTGTTTGTGTGTTTTGCTAGTTGTTTGAAGTTATCGGTATCTTCTTCTGGTATGTTCAGAAGATGGCAAAGAGCTGTGGGTACATTACAGACACCTCCTGGACTGGAGTGTGTTAGTGTTTACTCAGATTTTCATGTTCACAGTTGGACTTCTTATCTGGGTAACGGAGACAGGACAAAGACGAAGAGGGTAAAATGAAGTATATAAATATAATCTATGGCCACATGATGGTGTGCTTCATGTGAAATACAGGCATTGTTTGCTCAGTGATTAAGATTAAATTTGTCATTTGTCATTTGTTCATTAATACAGCTTTGATGACTTTTATGCTTCGAAATATGCAGTAAATATCTGATTAGCTTATTATCTGATAAATGGTGTATGTGGTTAACATTTGGGAGCACTTCCCATGCTGATTGTATATTATCCTGTTTATCCGAAGCTAAAGACAGTAGCCGCTGCCTTGTTGTCCTGTCACCAGTTTTGTCTTTATTCATTTGTTTATTGATGCGTTGAGGATTGTTTGCATGTCTCTTTAGTGCTGCTGTGCTTTTAGGCCATGATTAGCGTTTATTTAAATAATTATTTCTGTGTCACACCAAACATCTTGCCCATCCCACATGGAGTCACAAGACATAACATTGAGTTTCAGCAGGAAGTAGTGAAATACCAGATCTCAGCTGGTATAATTATATGCTGTCCTCCATATCAAGTAATTGAGTCCATAATTGAGCTACACATACCTTCAAGTACATTTCACATGCTTCCATCCCATGTGCGTCACTATCTCCAACTGTGGTGCACACCCAGCAAACCGGTTGGAAAACCAGCACACACCTACAGTATACAGCTTGAAGCTACAACATATGGATTGTCTTTGTGTGCATTTGTCTGTAACCTTTGATCAGTGACACAGAACTGATTACTATGTCTGAGCCTGTCAATATCGTACTAGTCTTCAGGATATGGTAAAAAGTAACTACAGTGATTATGCTGCTTTATGATAGTTGTTGTAGTTTCAGGGTCATGGGCCAGCAGCTGGAGTGACTAGTGGCTTTTCAAATGGTGAAACCATTAGCTTGTATGTGTATTGCTTGGCATGCTGTGTGGTGTCATTTATAATTATAATGTCACCTTTGCATGGATGGAGGATCATAGCAGTCAAAGAAAAAAACTTAATTCTTCTCACACATCTCCACAATGATCAAAGAATCCAAAAACAGAGAGACTTCTTGATGAATTAAAGTCATAGGGGTCCATGTTTATCAACAGCAAAACATTCATTTACAAACTCTCACACAACTCGTGCAGTCTAATCCAAGTCTCATTTATACAGTCGTATGCTCAGTACTTCCCAAACCGCCAGCCCTTTCTGGTGGGAAACTGAACCGAAGTGAAACTAATGCTCTTTTCAAAGCCAGACTCCATTGACAAAAACATTATTTTTACCTTGCTGAACACAGGAGCTGCTGGTGTACTCCTGCCTCGATCATATTATTGTGTGACTTTGGAAAATCCAAAATAATCCTTTAAAACACTGAAGCCACACAATAACACATAACTAACTGATCGAGGCAGTGGTAGACCAACAACTCCCGTGTTCAGCAAGGTAAAATGATTGTTTTTGTTAATGGAGTCTGGCTTTGAGAGCATAGCGAAGTTTCATTTTCAGCTGAGTTTTAAATAGTAAGGTTTTAGCAAAAATGCCCGTGTTTGAGAAGTACTGAGGGACTGGAAAAATGAGAATTGGAATATGCCGCATGAGTTATGTGAGAATTTGTAAACAGATCTTTTTGTATAGTCTTGCTGTAATGAAGAATGGACTGCTATGACTTCAGTTCATCAAGAATTTTTTTCAATTTTTGGAAGCTTTGTTCACCAGAGACATTCTAGAAAAACAATGTTTCCTTCACAAATGCAAGGTGAAACTGGGTGAGTAATTTATAAGCAAATGTTTATTCTGGGGTTACATTTAATGACATTATAGATTATGTTGATTTGAATTCTTCTTGGTAACAGGATGGGCATGGCTTCTGATTACACTAAATCAACTTTCAGAGGACCTTTGAGTGCTCAAAGTAAAGATGTGCTTGTTTAAGTGATATCTGTTTGTGTATCAAACTAAAAAATATAGTTTTATATGTGCTATGCCACATATTGCTTTTGTTACAGCCTCAGATCCAAATAGTTACATAGTTTACGTATTGCATACAGTCGTGCACTTGTCCTAATTTCGAAGGATTTTCTAAAATAAGGAAAGTCTTCTGTTGTTACAAAGGTTACATCCTCCTTCAAGAACTCAAAGTCCCAGAGCCAAAAACAGCGGCACATTTCTGTTGTTCTTGGCTTCATATGTTTGTGGAGAGTTTTGTAGTATCCACTATTACCCTGGGCTGCGCATTTAAAGGCTACTTTGTTTTAGGTTGATTCAGGTGATGGTCTCTTAATCACTGATCTAGTTTGTAGGACAAAGGTTTGGGTCACAGTTCTTTAACTCCCACTGTAGTTCTTAAATCGAATACCTCCAGCAATATCGCTGTGTCTTATTTTGTGCCTTAATTTTTTAATTATGAGGGACTTTTCAGAACAGAGGTTACAAAGTGCTTTAAAGATGAAAACGGAAAGAGTGAGATATAAGAGGCAAAGGAAATGAGGAGACATAAGTGTATGACTCATTAAAAATAGACATTATAAAGAGATATTGTGAAGCGATGTTGGAAAAAGATTCAGCATCTGGTATTGTGGTTTTTGGGATTCAGTCCAGGAAAGTGTCCAGTGGAGAGGGTGCAAAAAACCATCCAACCCTGGCAAACATGTCGAAATCCATTGTGCGTATATTTAGTTTTTTGTTCCGCTGTCAGTTGCACATGTCCAACAGTCCATCAGCAGCAGCCTCTGTACCTTTTGTATATGGAAACAAGTGAATGAGGCAGGATATTATGTCCCAGGTCTACCATGTGTTTAAAAACGTGATTTAGATTTAAACCTGACTTTCAGCCAAAAGCAGTAGGCTACTGAGCGTTCCATACTCATGTTTTCCTCTATGAATGTTGCTACTGTTGGTTTTATAAAAACAAATCAGGGATCATGTCCCTCCAGCCCACACGAAATCACAGGTGATTTTTCTGAGCTTGTGTTAACTTCCTCTAAAGGTTATATTGGTGGTCCAGGAAACTATCTGGGAGGGAGCCTGGGCGCTGGAGGCTACGGAGCAGGTAATGTTTGGCACTGACACATAACAAGGGAAACAGTTCCTGTAAGCAGATGGAGATGCTGATAGAGATATGACTACCTGTGGTAAAAAATTCCCATGCACTGCCTACAGGTCTGGGACAGGGAGCATACTTGGGTGGTGCAGCTGGCAAACATGGAGGTAAAAGTTTACTCCTTTTTTCTTGTCTTTGTATTTATTTAGGTGTCCTTTTGTGCCAAGTATTAACCTCTAACTCTTTCTGTCTCCAAAATAAATCTTAGCTGCTGGTGCTCTTGGACAGGGCGGGTATCCCCACGGTAAGTGTAGTAGGGAAGTCACCCGGTGAGGTTGTATGATTCAGTGATTCAATAATCTGTCACCTTTCTGAAGCCCATTCAATCTCAGTTTGTACTCTTTTTATTCATTATGGCCTCCTCCACAAACCCAGTGACTGTATGCATATATAGAAACCTGACTTAAGAGAATCAGGATTTCTCCACCTAAATTTTAATGCTCAGGATGTGAAGGGAGCTGAGGACGCGCAGTAGATCATGTTTCTCATGGTAGAAAATCAGCTGTTGCACCTACTTTGCCTTGTAAACGGATCATTTGCTTGTGAGTCTTCCTAGAAAAAACCTAAGCTGTGTTCGAGTTCATCTTCAGTTTTCTTTAAAGGTCAGAGGAGAAGCTATTTCAGTATTTTCCTTAACCTTTCTGGTGAATAATTGATAGTGATTTAAAAAGAAGTAGACATGACAACAAAAATAAAGGATTGCTCACAAACCATTTCAGACTGTACTCCTTTGGGTGCCCTTCCTCTTAGTTTGTACGTATAGAAGTCTGAACATCAAGATATTGCCTCTCTGTAGTGGCTTTCCATGTTTCAGATTTGTCCCAAGTTATATATTAATGTGTTTTGGTAAACAAATGCAGAAGCAGCATGAGTCTGTGTCCCATTCAATATGTTTTGAATGTGTGTTATCCCAGGCTATGGTGAGGGTGCAACAGGATACCTGGGTGCCGTGGCGGGCAATGGCTATGGTAAGTAAAAACTCATCACTACATGTATGAAGAAAATCAATTTCACCCAAACAAATTTTGTACATTGAGTTACAGGAGGCAACATAGAAGACAATTTAAAGGTCCAGTGTGTTGGATTTAGGGGGGGGTTGGCAGAAATGGAAAATGATAAATATGATAAGTACGTTTTCTTTAGCACCTGAAAATAAGAATTGTTGTGTCTTTGTTACCTTACAAAGAGCCAATTATATCTTCATAGGGAGCAGGGCCTCGTCCACAGTGTCCGCCATGTTGTTCTACAGTAGCAGAAACCATGAAACTGCTTTATTCAGTGTTTTTACCAGTTCAAATTACTGAGTCTGTTTGTTTTGGAGAGGAAGTATACTTCATCTCCTGGTAAAAACCTCCTAAATGCCTGGTTAGTTATCAAAGAAAAAGGGCGAGCACACAATAGCAGGCACTGGGCTAGCGTCCCATCCGCGACGAGGTGAGCAGCATAGGAGAAGCATTGATTTATACCAGGAAATTGCTTCATTCAGCATTTTTAACAGTTTTAATCACCTGGTCCATTTGCTTTGGAGAGGAAGAGACCTCTGCAGATGTTTCAGCTCCCGATAAAAATCTCCCGAACAACACTGAAGGAATCCTAACCTTGAGTCCATGCTTTGGAGAAGTTTCAACTGGTTGCAAACTGCAATCCTCATCGCTAGATGCCACTAAATCCTACACACTGTTCCTTTAAATATAAAAAAAAGAAAAACCTTTATCGTTGAAATGTGAATTGTCTGCCTCCTCTGACCATGGATCACTCTTCATTCTGTTTGGTGTCAGGGGGAATCTGCATCAAGGCAAGGCAAGGGCAAGGCAATTTTATTTATATAGCACTATTCATACACAAGGCAATTCAATGTGCTTTACAAGAGAAATACATTAAAAACAATAGATCATTAAAAACAAGAGCTAAAAGCAAGAAAATAAATAGTTAAAAACAGTGCAGAAAATGCATTTAAAAAGCAAACATAATGCAAAAGCAACAGCAGACAAATATAAAAACAATAGCTACAGATTATCCTAACAATAAGTTAATCAAAGCCGTCACTGACAGGAGTGATGATATTTAGTTAAGACAGGCCGATCCTTTGTCTTTAGTGACTCTCTTTGTTCTTTCTCTGAGATGCTGGTGCAGAAGGTTTGTCTACAGGTATTTCACATGCATGTAGAAGGCTTTCTTGAAGACATTCTTTTCTTTTGGTTCCAGGTACAGTCAGAGATGTCAAATGCAGTTGAAAAGATTAACTTTGAATTATTTAAAAACTATATATATATATTCATTTTAAACATACAGCTCCTTCTCTTTGCAGGTTATGGGAATGGTTACAGCGACGGTCAAGGGGCTGGTGAGTGTCATTTAAAGATAAAAAGACAGAAAGATATGGAAAACTTAGTCTACTTAAAGAGTCATTAACTTACAAACTCAATTATAATGCTAATTAGAACTATGTTTCAGGGCTCGGTTACCCTTCAGAGTTAGCTGATGGTGCTGAGAAAAAAGCAGGAAAGCATGGAGGTAACAACTTTGTGGAGTTAAAACCTGCTCAAACCCATAACGGATGATGTCACTAACCTGTAGATGCTTTTAACCTCCAGTTGAAAAAGTAAGAGGCCAACAAGAAAGCACATTTCCTCTGCTGAAAATGTCCAGTGTGGTATTTTATCCACTGGGTGTAGCTATTGTCTCTTATTTATAGAAGCTGACCAGTTTAATCTGGTGGTTTCTGAATTCCTGCTCACATAGATGCTTTTCACACAGTTTTATTCAAAAGTGTGAATCAGTCAATGGATAAACAGTGTCTCACCTGCCTGTTTATATATTTCTTATTTTTCTAGCTCTCGGTACAGGAGCCTACCCTGGGCAAGTGCCAGGGGCGTATGGTAAGAGATTTGAGGAATGTCCTCTGGCTACCAAACACTGTTACTAACACACACACACACATATATACTAGAAGTATGAATGACCCTATGAAACTAGCAAACACCTAAAGCTGCAGGCTCTGTGATGGTTTAAGTTTGTTCATAGTAACTTATGAGTTGATTATATAATTCATAGCAGCACAGTGTCAGTCAAATGCAACGTAAAAGGAACTAGAAAGTGACTGTCGTCCTCAAAAATACGACCTCATGGGTCATTCATACAGTTTATTATGACCACTTTGCAGGTAATTATGATGGGAGCAAAGGAGGGAGTCAGGTGATATAGTAGAAAGAGGTAAAAAGTCAACAAAGGGAAGTGGTTGGGTTGGATGGGTGGGTCAAACAAACAGGACTTTCACCCATGAGACCACTGTTAATGTGACGTGTGAAACCAAAAGTCAACACTGAGTCCTTTTAACTACATAACATCATGTGTCATGTGACGTATATACACATTAGTAGCAAAAGTACTTATTTTAGGCCAAACCATGATCTTTTTTCTAAACTTAACCAAATAGTTTTGGTGCAACTGCTACCATCTCACAATGTTAACCATATGTTTAAAACTGTATATTAACGGTCATAGACAAGCTTAGATTTTGTATGAGGACGTGGTGATTTCCTGCCATCGAAAGGGGTGTTAATTTAGGAAATGCACCTGAGGGTCATATCAGACGGTAGGAACAAATGTGGTCATATGGGTTGTAGGACTTGATGGCTAAAAATATCTGTGGAACACATTTCAGTCAAATCTATGACTATGAGAAACTGTTGTATCATGCTGGAGAGAGAACAACCTCCTCCAGTTCACCAGTAAGAGCTTTGTATGAATGTACTTTTTTCAATGTGTCACTGAAGCCCCTCTTGTCTTCTGTCAGGAGCACTTGGTACAGGACTGGACCCAACTGCTGGCAAATATGGTGAGCAGTGATGACATGACCTCATCCTTCTGTTGCATAATTAGTCAGGCCTCCGTCAACGTCAGTGTGACCTTCCATGCATGCGTCAGATTTGAACTAGTAGATAGCACAGAGCAGTTTATAGCATGTGCGGGTTAAAAAGGGTTAAAAGAGAGAATAGACATGAGTAAGTTTGCCCATCTGTTTTTTTTTAATTTATTTTTTTCCCTGCAGGAGGCGGAGCTGCTCAGGTCCCTTATGGTAATGCTCCAGTGATTCCTACTGGACTGGAGGGTAAGAGCTGCATGTGTTTGCAACTTCAGCTGCGACTGTAATCTAAAATAGAGTACATTTGTATTACAGAGTATAGAAAGTTACATCAATTATGTATAGAATAGCACATTTCTACTGTGGCCATTGACATTTTTGGTAAGCTGGTGTCTATTAAAGTCAAAGACAGCTCAACATACTGTAGCTATTAGACCCCTGTTCAACTTTATTATGAAATGTAAATTTAATGGAAGAGCCTGACATTTTGGAAAACGCAGCAGTTTGTAATTCCTTGTCAAACAGCAAATTGTCATTTAAACTTCCATAATATAACACGTTAATAAGATAACTTCAGAGGGTAGGCAGATTTTGGTTTCAATGTCCTCAAAGTGCTGTATGATACAATAACAAAAATGAACCCAACAACAACAACAACACTGGTCACTGGTTTAAAGGAATAAACTTAAACTATGAAATAAAAACGATATTCTCATTTTGTTGCACCACACCCACCCATCCTGTTCATGTACCTAAACATCATAGCTACCAGAACAGTTAAATACTTAACGGATTTGTCACCCCCTCAGGTGATGGTGGCTACCCATATCCTGCTCAGCAGATCAACCTTGCAGCTGAAGGTGCCAAAACCTCTAACAAATATGGTGAGAATGAGTGTTAGTGAGCTATAAAGTGTGAGAAACTGTCTGATGGAAAATAACTGTGAAGCTGTTTCTCTCAAGTCCCGCTGAGGTCAGAACCCTCAGTCAGACAGTCATTTGAGAAAACATAACTATGCTAATTAATTAAGAAAACAAACAATAAGCAAAGGAGTCACTTACCAGTTTTAATTTGCCATGAATTCAGCCAGAGATGGGACAGACAGCAGATGTGTTTGTGTCTCTGTGTGTACATTATCTCTGTCTTTTGTGACTCACAATTGTTGCCCCTATTGAAGTCCAAGTATCTACATGTTTTGTGTTGTTTCAGGAGCCGGTGCAGGATATGGACCTCAGCAAACAGGTGAATTTCCATGGATTCTCTCACCCAAAAAATCCTACACAGACACACATCCTTTCACACAAAGCACAATACCCCTGCTGTGTGTCTTTTGTCACACCAGTACATCACATTGTAATTCACAGAAGTTGCTGTGTGAGCATGACAGTATTTTTAGTATCGTATGTCTTGCATAATTGAGATTTTAAGTACACAGTTCAGCTGCACACATTTCTTGGCTACTCCCAAAGCCCCCCCAAAAATCAGAATACAATTTTATTTTGTGCATTTTGTCTGTTTTAAAAATGTAACTTGTTTGCTTGTGTTTGATAAGGTTATGGTGCACAGCTAGGAGCAACTCAAGATGCCTTGGGTAAGCAAGAAACCCCCCAACTTCCTCATTTATGACCAAGTTCCACTCACTTTGCTGCTTCTGGTGACCTTATTAGTCATGTCCTCTTGCATAATATTACACTGGCAGCACAGAGTGCAGTGCACATTTCCCTGTGCTACAAAATAGCTATCACATCTAATTGTTAGTGTGCGGTTTTGCATGTGTCAAAATATTACTGTGCTTTCACACGTGCGCATTGTTTCTCTGAGAAAAACAAACGAGTTACAGCTACTTTTGGAAAAATGGACTGTTCATTTTACATGCTCTGAACATACTTTTGCTTAAATTGCTGTCACGCCAAAAATACAACTGCATGCATTATGGATTATTTTCCCACTCAAGGGTATGGAGCCTGCAGAGTGAGTTGGCTGAGTCCTCTAGTAAAAGTCTAAACCCGTTTCTGCAAGAGTTAACTTAGCTGTCAAACCTCTTTTTCTCACTGCATCTGTTTCCCTCTGAGCACACATATTACACTGAACTGGGTTGATCCTTTCACAGGAGAGCAAACTGGCAAATATGGAGGAGTGAATGGTGCCCTTGGAAATGGATACAAAGGTGAGAATGAAGGGAGGTTTATAACTGGTGCGTGAAGGCCCAGTTAAAACACAATAAAACTATTAAAACTTCCACCAAGTGGAAATTGTGTGATTTCATTACCATTACGTAAATTCGTTTGTGGCCTTGTGTTTTTTTTCTCGACCACTCAAATTAATAGATTATTCTTGATTTGGTGTTTTTGTGTTCTTTCCCCCTGTCCTTATTGTCTCTTTTTTTAACCAGGCTAATTCAAATGACCTGGACTTCTTCAAGTGGATCATTTTCATAATGTGTTCAGTGTAATGTGTTTTTAAAGCTTTTCTTGTGTGTGTTTCACTCTATTTTGTCCTGCTGTGTTGTCTGTTTTGTCTTTTGCTTTATTTTTCTGACCCTCCCTTGTCTTTCTCTGTAAGTGGACATTTGATACCTGTTTGTCTTGTTGGTCCAAAAACCTGCAGCGCCCCACCAGTCTTATTCTGTCAACACTGAAGAAATTGGTGGTGATTGATGAACATAAGTATTTGTTAAGTGCAAGAAATTTGCCTCTATGTTTTAAAATAAATATTAAAATGATGATTTTACTGTTTTAATCCAATAAATTATATGTCAGATGATGCTGAATAGAAGCTTCTGAGTAAAACCATTGTGTTTACTTGCACACATTGTTCTCTGTAATAGTGTCAGCGAAGCCTCATCTGTGCACAGGAAGTTTTACCACTTCCTTTCTCATGTCAGACAACACCACCTAAGTTAAACACACTCACATCAAAACTAAAAGTAATGAGATAAAACAATACTACAAACAGTTCAGAAATGATGCCTTTAATATGAATAAACATATGAAACCGTAACAGACAAAATAATAATGTGATTAAAATACATAAAACACACTTGAATATATATATATGTTATATATGTTTATATAGATTCTAAAATGCTACAAAGTGATTGCACAATACATAAAATCTGCAAACATTTCAATTTTATCTAAAAGTATGGGAGAAAAAAAAGGCTTAAGTAAGTCCATAAGTAAAAGCTACATTGAATCACATTCATATTTTGACAGCTGCAAGAACTTTTAGATGATGTGCTGCGTATACTGTGCTGTCCTGTGACAGACCAGGCCAGTGTCTAAAGCACAGTGGGTACTATATGATACAAATAACATGCATATGTAGTATATAAAACAGAAGTATCTTGTCTGCCACTGCTTTTATTCATATTTTTAATATGTTACAACATTTTACAAGTACATCTCAGTCAGCTGGATCGTTTGTGGATGCTGATTTCTGAGAGCCTACATTAACATAACTTTTCTTTCAAACAAATTATTTAGTATATATAGTAACACTCTCCATAATTCAGTGCAGCCGCTTTGTCAGCACATAAAAGATTCTTCCCCAACAGACATACTTCTCATCCTTTGTGACAAGTACAGATTTAACAATGGATGTTAAAGGATTTTGGATTTCCTGGATATTAAGTGTTCATCAGCAAATTTCTACGGTCCCAGTAATAGTCTTTTTTGTACTGAAGTAGCAGTTCACAAAGGCTTGATAAGCTCAAATTTTATTCTGCTGGTAAAATATTATTTACACAAACAAAGGGCTCCTATTTTTGAAGCATTTAAAAAATAATTGTAAAAATATTTGTATTTTAAGTAATCCCGTCTAACACACTTTTACGAGACACTTTTATAAGACTGCCTGTCCTTTTTTCTGTAATTTAATTTGATAATTTTACTTCCTTTTGTAAAATGTATTTGCTTTTATCAGTATAGGTGGCAGTCATGCTGTTATATATTATAATGAATAATGTTTTACAGTTGTCGTTAGATGTTATAGTCTCGGTACAAGATGTTCAGGCACACTTGTAGAGAAGTGTGGAGTAGCTAAAGAAACCCAGAATTTGGCTGCTGTTTGCAATGGCATTAATAAACTCCAATTGATGATATAAAACTATCATTAAACAGCAGGAAAAATAGTTTTGTTTTCTTCAGTGACTTTTTTCTTTTTTCTTTTTTTTGGTGGCAAAAATGTTATAAGCGGAAACACTATGGCGCACCGAACTGGACTGGCCCCTGCTTTTCTGCAGTCCAAATCAGATTGATCTTTTCTTCCTCTTTTGCAGTTTTGGTGGTGCTTTCCCGGTGGACTGTGCGAATTACGACAGTGCCACTATATCGGCGTAATGCTGCGATTGCAGTTAGAAATGATAGAAATCCACCAAGCGCAACACTTCCCAGAAAACACTGTTTTCCATTGCGATACCATTCAGAGTTTTCTGGAGAGCTGGAGGCACCATGAAATTTGACAGTGTCAGCCGCCTTGTCATTCTCAATGCAGGAAAAACCTTGAGTAAGACTCTGATTTCTCTGTGAACTTGTTTCATTCACAAACACACCCATCTCTAAGAGGATGGCCTTTGGAACAGGATGTGCATGACGGGACACATACAACCTTTTCAGACTTTGACTCATAGGTGAAGGTTTATAATCTTTGCATGTAGCTCCACTCAGACTTGGAGCACATTTCACCGCCAATTTGTAGAACAGCTGGCCATGATGCAGGTTGCAGAGATCCTCTTTGACTCCAGCAGACAGAGATTGCTCACATTGTCCCAGCAGGTCGTCGTCCCACTTGTTGTCCTCATCCCACACTTCAAATTTCACTATATTTCCTGAAGACAAATCCTGGGTGCCCAGGTCGACAATCGTGGCCCAATGTGGATTATTGTTGTTGTAAATGACAGGAGTACGCCGGACCATTATCCCATTGATGGACACCTTCACATAGCCGTCCGTTTCTGTGGTGTGGTCTCCCCACAGACCAGAGGCCCGTTGTACAGTTATGATGACCCGCGCCATACCCTTACGGGTTGGGCAGCAGTCTTGGTTTACAGCAGGGTCATTGTGGCATTGGCAGACACAGGTATCTCGTGGGTCGCTCTTGATGCCGGCCTGACAGTGGTCACTGCAGTTCTTCCACAGACCCCTTTCCAGGATGTAATGGCTAATGGCTGAGCGCAAGTTCTTGTGGACAGGGCTGTTAGTGGGCAGTAACTCATGCAGTGAGTCCAGGGAGTATGAGACTATGTCTGGATTCTGTGGTAGTGTGTTCAGCCATTCTTTGTAGGCTGATGGATCCTTGTCAGCAGAGAATAGAAGGTCCGGCTCCATGGTATGGCCCCCCTTTATTTCTGTGAACCTGTGGAGGAGAGAGTTGCTCCGATAACAGAGCCGCGAGAGAAACCAAAAGCTCTTAAACAGAAAGTGAGACTTTAAAATCTGATACATTTCAATTCTTGCAGTTTAGTTAGTTAAGCGTTTCCAGGGTTAACAGTCATCACTTCAAGTGCAAACCAGTAGAAAATGTGACAGAATATGAGACAAAATGTCCTATACCTGTCGTTGAAGAGGCCGGAGAAGGATGTCTTCATTTCCATCTTGTCCATGTCCTTCTGGCAGTGTTTTGTTTGAGCTTTTACTGTAGCTTTGATGCTGGCTGACGCCTCAACTTCCAGGCACATCTGCACCTCCTCCACACTGAGGCCCTGCAGGCTGGCCTGGCACTGCCTGATGCTGGTCACAGATTGAACTCTTCCTCCCAACTTCACCTGGAATTATATATTTAAACACATAAATTGCATAAGCAAATTTGTTATGCTTGAATTTGTTCATAAATGTGCATTTTCTTTTGTTATAATCACACCATCATTTTGCTTTACCTTGGTGATGTAATGGGTGCCAAAGTTGTCTATCAGTTTGTAAAACTGTTGCTTGGATTCAGGGCTGTAGATTTTGGGGAGCTGTTTGACTGCTTTATAAAATTCCCTGTGCAACTTGTGAGTGCTGGACACTCTGTAGCTGTTCACAGTGAGACCAGAGAATACAACAGTATTGCATTTGAGCATCAAAGTTCATTCATTTTGTTTATTGCATTTACCTTTTCATGAGGGGAGTGTGTAGAGAAAAGTTTTATCCTAGTCCTTCTTACCTGTAGTACTCACAGGACATGCTGTGGCTTGTGAAGCTGAACTTGTCATTCTTTGTTTTTTCCATGGAGTATTCAGCCAATTTAGAATGGGTACCAGCTAGCATCAACGAGGCACCCTTTTTACCCACATTAACGTCTAGATTGGCCTGCCAGTTGTTATCCACAGAAGAGGTGCTGGAACTGACCAGGGACTCACTGGACCGGTGGAGCGCACTGGCTACTTTCATGTTGCAGGACTGCTTTGGTCTCCAGTCCACCACTGACAAGGGGAGCTTTTGCTTTTTGTTCTCCAGGTAGGGGTTGCTGCACAGGGTGCATGTTTTGTCCTTGCGTTTCCATCGATTCATGTCAAGCACAAAGGCCCCCTTACGTTCCATTTTGGTGATATCAAAGCCTTCCCCGGCCAAATTGGTACCTGGAGCAAATTCTGCATCTACACACTGCCTGGGTGTCCCCTCTGTGCATGACTGATGTGTACACTGAGGGAGGGACAGCATGAGGCTGGCATAGATGCAGATATTCAAGAGAAACATGTTTCTCGTAATTTGGGTGACGGATGGAAACTGAAGGTTTATCCTGAAAGAGAAACAGTTTTGTTGAACAAACATGAATAAGTAAAGCAGTTCATTACTACACCTCTACTTGGTCATTGGACATATAGTAATTCTGTCACTCCTTTTTAAAGAAGTGACATTTTTGGCTCAGCATTTTATCCATAATAAACACCTTAAGTCAGTAGATCGTCCCATCCTCCCTCTAACATGCAGTTACAAAACCCTCTCTAACAGTGCTTAATAACTTGCCACTAACTTGCCTCTCCTTTGTAGACCATAACAACATTTTGGATAAATTTCAAGTAAAAATAAATTAAGTTATTTAAATTGTGTTAGACCCCTCTGCTGCTTTTGAAAATGTTTACCATTCTGTCCTCTTGGGCCATCTCAATCATGTCAATCATTTCCAGGCCTTGTGGTCAAGTCAAGTCAGTTTTTATGTATATAGCACCAAATCATATCAAAAGTTATTTCTCTCTATATCAAGCTGGTCTAGACGATACTATTTTGGTTCGAGTCCTATCAACAGATTGGTTTCAGTTGCAAGTGATACATCTTTATCTTCCTTTGATTCTTCCTCTTGTGGTGTACTTCAAGGCTCTATTTTGGGACCTATTGTACTTTAACTTGGGTTTACTTTTAGAAAACATGCCATCCCAAGATTTTTCATGTATATTTTATGAGGAGGGAAATGCATTTAACACCGTATGTTGATCCTCAAGGATATGCAAAATGCATTTTAATGAGAAACATGGAATGTAAACATAACTTGTTTGTTTACTAGAGAAGTCAGCAGGGCATTTCTAAATCTCTTTTCATTTGCCACAAGGGTGTCAAACACTGGATGTCTAAAGGAAGGGCTAAATGAGATTAAGACAAATTCCCTTTAACTTGCAACGGTCTAGGTATCACATTTGAATCTGTCTTACAATGTGACAAACTGTCATTAGTGGTAGCTTTCTGCCACGTTAGGTCTATTGTGAAAATAAAACCTTATCTGTCTCCTAGGAATCCGTAGACTTTTGTACATACTTTTATTTCCTTGCATCTTGACTGCTGTAGTTTTCTTTATTTGAGTCAGTTATCCTTTTCTTTCCTGCAGTTTGTCTAGAATCACCTCACTAGTACCAAGAACAGAGACTAATGAAATATAGAATTGATTTTGAAATTCTTCAATTGTGTTTTAAGCACTATACGGATCGGCACAAGTTTGTATGTCAGATCTCTTTAGTCCCTATTCCGACTTAAGACTTCTCAGATGTCCTGATCAATTACTGCTTTCCGTTCTACATTTTTAGTTAAACCCCAAAGGTGATAAATCGTTTTCATTGCTGTCTCCTAGTCTGTGAAACATTTTAGCTCTTACTGTCGCGCCATTCTAGTCCATCGCCATTTTTAAAATTCAGTCTTAAGACCAATCTTTTTATAACTGCACTTGAGTCTCGGCTACAGTCATGACTACACAACTGCTTTGGTCAACATTTGCCCTATAAATAAATGGAAATGACTCAGCAGTTATAGCTCATTAAAAGTTTAACTGCTCTCACAAATGGGACAGGACTAAAGTATATTATAGAACTGCTCACTGATACAGCAGTGACACTAAAGAAAATTTTATACAGATGCTAAATAACTTCAGACAATTGTAAGTAACTCACAGACAGTTACGTATATTCAAATAAAGTAAAACAATATTTAAATATAAGCACATCAGCTGAGACTCACCCTCGTCTTGCCTGTTCACGCTGCACTTGAGAAACTGACTGTGAGCATGAATATCAGTGCTTTGCGTTCAAATGATAAAAAAGCAGGTGGTGAGGGGGTGAAGTGGCGAGGTGGTGGTGGTCTCATGAAAGCATGGGGAACAAAATGTGGTTTTAAAGTTTCATCGATGCTGAACAGACATAGCACTGAGGGGGAGGAGCTGTTGGTCTACAGATGAAGTCAAACACATAGTGACAGCATAAAAGTAAGGCTGGCTTTCCAGTCAGTAACGGACCAGAGACCACAAACCTATCATTTCTCTGAAGTGGTGGTGGGCTGTGGCTTTACTCTATGAGACTAAGAGACTGTCACACTCTAATGAATAATTTCTTAAGTTTATCACAAACACAAAGTAACTCAACAGCTGTATATGATAAACATTTTAATGAGCTCTGTTATAACATTGGGCTGTTTCAGCAGCAAACGCTGAGACAGCAAAGAAAATTAATCTAAATTAAAATACACAAAAAACCTATAGTAGCTTGAGTAAGTACTGTGCATATGTATAAAAGCCATATATTAAGGAATACTGAAAGGTAAATTAAAGATGGATAAATTGACATATTTGAAATTAACAGAGAAAAGTGCATTCAATTACAGATAACAAGAAAAAAATCATTGAACAAAGTGTAGATGCATGGATTCATACATGAAAAAACACTTAAGCATTAAGGATATGTAGAAAAAACATGTAGGTAGGAGAGAAACTGACTATAAAATATAAAAAACATTTATAATATGATGACACCACATGTGTAATGGACTCTGCATGTGTTCTGTTCTTCACTTCTCGCTTTAGAAATGGGCATCAAGCAACATGTCAAAAATCATCAAGGTAATAATGTGATTAAAATGTATAAAACACTGTTTCAAATGCCTGTACAAAGACAATAAAATTCTTTGAAAATGCACAGATACAAAAAAGACTGGTGAAAGCTGCATTAAATCAAACTCATGTTTCAGTAACTGCAGAATTTTTTAGGATAATCAACTGCATATGCTTTGCTGTCCTGTTAAAGACCAGGCCAGTGTCTGCAGTATAACTATGACTTTATGATGCAAATCAAATCAAACTATCTTTTCTACCTAGCCTCTATTAATAGTAGACTTCTGTCAAATACAAATCTCACACATCCTGAATATGACTTGAGGCCATTTTGTCAGTTATCAGGAGAGATTTAATAGGGAATTACAGTCATGAATTATGCCTTTTGCTTAGATTAATGTCACCAAATCAATACACTTTAAAAAAAAGATTCCTAATGTTTTGCATCAGTAAAGCCAATTATATGGAATCAAACTTTTGAGTCTCCGCAGTAAGACTCTGGTTTCTCTGTGAACTTGTGTCATTCACAAACACACCCATCTCTAAGAGGATGGCCTTTGGAACAGGATGTGCATGACGGGACACATACAGCCTCTTCAGACTTTGACTCATAGGTGAAGGTTTATAATCTTTGCATGTAGCTCCACTCAGACTCGGAGCACATTTCACCGCCAATTTGTAGAACAGCTGGCCATGATGCAGGTTGCAGAGATCCTCTTTGACTCCAGCAGACAGAGATTGCTCACATTGTCCCAGCAGGTCGTCGTCCCACTTGTTGTCCTCATCCCACACTTCAAATTTCACTATATTTCCTGAAGACAAATCCTGGGTGCCCAGGTCGACAATCGTGGCCCAATGTGGATTATTGTTGTTGTAAATGACAGGAGTACGCCGGACCATTATCCCATTGAAGGACACCTTCACATAGCCGTCCGTTTCTGTGGTGTGGTCTCCCCACAGACCAGAGGCCCGTTGTACAGTTATGATGACCCGCGCCATACCCTTACGGGTTGGGCAGCAGTCTTGGTTTACAGCAGGATCATTGTGGCATTGGCAGACACAGGTATCTCGTGGGTCACTCTTGATGCCGGCCTGACAGTGGTCACTGCAGTTCTTCCACAGACCCCTTTCCAGGATGTAATGGCTAATGGCTGAGCGCAAGTTCTTGAGGACAGGGATGTTAGTAGGCAGTAACTCATGCAGTGAGTCCAGGGAGTATGAGACTATGTCTGGATTCTGTGGTAGTGTGTTCAGCCATTCTTTGTAGGCTGATGGATCCTTGTCAGCAGAGAATAGAAGGTCCGGCTCCATGGTATGGCCCCCCTTTATTTCTGTGAACCTGTGGAGGAGAGAGTTGCTCCGATAACAGAGCCGCGAGAGAAACCAAAAGCTCTTAAACAGAAAGTGAGACTTTAAAATCTGATACATTTCAATTCTTGCAGTTTAGTTAGTTAAGCGTTTCCAGGGTTAACAGTCATCACTTCAAGTGCAAACCAGTAGAAAATGTGACAGAATATGAGACAAAATGTCCTATACCTGTCGTTGAAGAGGCCGGAGAAGGATGTCTTCATTTCCATCTTGTCCATGTCCTTCTGGCAGTGTTTTACTTCTGCTTTTGCTTCAGCTTTGATGCTGGCTGACGCCTCAACTTCCAGGCACATCTGCACCTCCTCCACACTGAGGCCCTGCAGGCTGGCCTGGCACTGCCTGATGCTGGTCACAGATTGAACTCTTCCTCCCAACTTCACCTGGAATTATATATTTAAACACATAAACTGCATAAGCATATTTGTTACTTTGTTGTTAATTTTTTTATCGCTTTTTGTCCTCATCACTTTGCTTTACCTTGGTGATGTAATGGGTGCCAAAGTTGTCTATCAGTTTGTAAAACTGTTGCTTGGATTCAGGGCTGTAGATTTTGGGGAGCTGTTTGACTGCTTTATAAAATTCCCTGTGCAACTTGTGAGTGCTGGACACTCTGTAGCTGTTCACAGTGAGACCAGAGAATACAACAGTATTGCATTTGAGCATCAAAGTTCATTCATTTTGTTTATTGCATTTACCTTTTCATGAGGGGAGTGTGTAGAGAAAAGTTTTATCCTAGTCCTTCTTACCTGTAGTACTCACAGGACATGCTGAGGCTTGTGAAGCTGAACTTGTCATTATTTGTTTTTTCCATGGAGTATTCAGCCAATTTAGAATGGGTACCAGCTAGCATCAACGAGGCACCCTTTTTACCCACATTAACGTCTAGATTGGCCTGCCAGTTGTTATCCACAGAAGAGGTGCTGGAACTGACCAGGGACTCACTGGACCGGTGGAGCGCACTGGCTACTTTCATGTTGCAGGACTGCTTTGGTCTCCAGTCCACCACTGACAAGGGGAGCTTTTGCTTTTTGTTCTCCAGATAGGGGTTGCTGCACAGGGTGCATGTTTTGTCCTTGCGTTTCCACCTATTCATGTCAAGCACAAAGGCCCCCTTACGTTCCATTTTGGTGATATCAAAGCCTTCCCCGGCCAAATTGGTACCTGGAGCAAATTCTGCATCTACACACTGCCTGGGTGTCCCCTCTGTGCATGACTGATGTGTACACTGAGGGAGGGACAGCATGAGGCTGGCATAGATGCAGATATTCAAGAGAAACATGTTTCTTTTAAGTTTGGGTGACGGATAGAAACTGATGGTTAAACCTGAAAGACAAACATGATTCATGAGCAAGTGAAGCCGTTTATTACTACACCACTAAAAGTTAGTGGTTGGACAGGACCAAACCAAACTGAAGCAGCAATAAACATTTTCTACCACATGATAAATGAGTTAAAATCACTTCAGTGAAATCTTTATGTCAAAACATTGTTGCGCTTTCAAACCATGCACCTGTCCATCTGACTGCATCCCACTTTGTTTTTAAAAGCAAAATTTTAGACAGTTGGTCTACTGATATTTTTTATTCCAGTTTTAAACATGCCATTGTTTACCTGCTCATAAATAAACCTTCTCTGGATCCCTCTGGATTCAACTATTTTAGAGGCATCTCTAAAGCTTGAAACAAATCTGAAGACTATAAAACCTAGAAAACTGGACAAACCACATATAAGGATTGTATCCATCAACTTGCACACATGTTTAGTCTCTAACAGTCAGACAGGAACATAAAGCTTGTGACAGAGTGAATAGGGACACTCTTGACAGACTACTGAATATTATGTATTTTTTACATCAAGTTTTAGAATATTTCAAAAATAGCAGATAAGCATAGACTCACCTTTTTCTTACGTACACACACTGGAAATGCAAATCTGACTGTGTGCATCAGTATTCGAACTCTGTGTTTTTAAAGAGAAGGAGGCAGGACAGGGCGTTGTGGGGGAGTGAGGTGACAGTGGTCTTTGAGAGAACAGTAGGGGGAAAAAAAGTTGTTTGACAGTTTGATCAAAGAAGAATAAACTCTCACTTCTTTGAGGGGGTGCTGCAGTCTGGTCATACTATGTGACATTAGGAGGCTGTGATCCTAACACTAAATTTCTCAAGACTATTACAACCAATTTTGTTGTAGTTGTTTATGATGCGCTAGGATCAAATTTTAGTGAGAAATTTTGAGAAAATTCGGTTGTTTCAGCAGCAAACACTGACATGGAAAAGAAAATGAATCTACATTTAAATAAACCCAAAAAACAGAGTGATTTTTGATCATTTTTACACATTAGAAAATATCATTTATGTTTCCACACCCAACAAAAGTACATCTAATATGGAGAAATTAAAGGGACAGTTCACCCCAAAGCCAAAAATATTTTTCCCCTCTTACCCTTAGAGCTATATATGTATCTATATTGTTCTGGTGTAGGTGGCCAAGTGTTGGAGATATCAGCCGTAGAGACATGTGCCTTCTCTCGGATATAATGTAACTAGATGCTTGTGGTGCTCAAAGCGCCCATAATAAAATAAAATAAAATAAAATAAAATAAAATAAAATAAAACCTTTGAAATACTCAACAGCAGTGTCCATGAGTACATGCACGCTTCCCCTGTGTGGTGATACGGTTGCTGGATGTAGTTTGGTAGAAAGAAAATAGCTTCTATATGAAACTGCTCACAACAAAGTCCATGTATTACTTTGGGTAACCGGATGATGCTGTCTGGAAAGAGACATTGCTGTTGAGTTTTTCAAATGTTTTGTTTTATATGTAGTTTTGATTTGGGGTTGAACTGTCCCTTTAAAATGTTTGGAACTGAGTGAGAAGACACTGTTAATTTTTAAATTAGATTTAACTTAATTGTGATTGCACAGAGTACTGAGACAAATGCAGTTTAGCATCTAACCAGATTTTCAAAAAGAAGTACAGACTAATGTGCATGTATAGAAGTATATATATAAATAATAACTAGTAAGGGGTAAATATAAAACCTATGCAGCAATAAAACAGTATGAGCATGTACAGCAAGTAGGCACAGTCCCACAGAAGTGTGTTTGTAGGCGGAAACATGTCATGAAGTCCGAGCAGCAGAGTCGGGTGAAAGGTGAAGGTGGTGTGGTGTGGTGTGATCATGGGTGTGATTCATCTAGATCATCAACAGTTCTCTTCCATTAGAGAATTCCAGCACGTCACCTGCTGCCTTCAAGTGCTCCTCGGGAACATCGAAATCCAAGTGCATCTATTGCTTTTGTTGAGTGACAACAGCAAAATTTACCCAGTTATGACATTTTTTTTGTTGCTTGAAATTGACAACACGTCACATATATAAGACTTGAGCACTGCACTCAAACTGTCATGTGGCTGGTGGTTAGTGACTCATTTATTAACCTACTGCAGCAACAGATTTTCTCACGAGTAAATACTGAGGCTCCCGTAATTTCTATGCATAGTCTGTAATTGTGAACAGTGGGCTATACTGTCTCTCTGGTATAATCATAGTTTTCAGAAAATTCAACATGTTGGTTGACCCAAATTTGTATCCGTAGTTATGATTAAAAACACATTTTGTTGTTGTAATGAACATGTTTGCTAGTAACTTTCAAAAAATAATCATGTTCTTTATATTTAGCAAGTGAGCTCAGGTGGTTTCTGCAATATTTCCGGTGGTGCTGAAGGCGCTCTAACTCAGTCAGTGTTGGCATTTACACTGTCAAGTAGCGCCAAGCAACATGAAACTAGTCCCAATAAAGGAAAATAAGACCAGAAGTTAAAAGAGTCCACCTTCAAAATAAAATTTGATCTTTGTATAAAAGTCAGTTTATTGAATTTTTTTTTTTTTTTAAATGCTGCCATCGCTGGAGAAGTTGTTTCCAGTGTGTACATCCATCAAAGCATCAGTCCATCCCATTCTCATGAACACAATATCTCAGGAATGCCTTGAGGGAATTTCCCTGTATTGGCACAAACGTCCATTTTGACTCAAGCATGAACTGATCAGATTTTGGCCATAACTCAAGAATTCATACGATAGCTATAACAAAATTTCACACAAATGTCTAAAAGGGTAAAGTGATGAAGTGATGACATTTAAATCCAAAAGGTCAAAGGTCAGCTTCACAGTGCCATCCTAATGTTATCAGGCTATTACTCAGCACCATCACTCAGGAACAGAAGGGGAGACATTTGGTCAGATGCTGATTCGTTGACACCCTTCTTTGGTGCCCACCTTAAAACTGCTGCTTGTATAGATCTTCTGTGCTGCCGGGTTGAAGATATGTGTGTGTAGTCTTTTAAAATGTTTGCCTCTTTGCAGCAACTTCCGAATTTGAAGCACTGCGTACTGTCTTGGCTATGCAATATATTCTCATATCTAAATGGCAGAATAGGTTGTTTGCCAGTGACTCCCAAAAGGGCGTCATTGGCAACCAAATATGACACCCCAAAATGGGAGAGCACTGGCAACAGGCGCATGTACTAATGTTTGCAGTTTTAAATAGGGTTAATTTTGTGAAACATTTGCTGTTATGCACCAAAACTACGTGGTTAGGTTTAGAAGAAAGATCATGGTTTTGATTCAAATAAATATCTTTGTTACGCTGACTTTTGGTTGGACACAAACACTGGCTTCCTGGGTGAAAGTCCTGTGTTTGTTTGACCTGTCCACCACATGGATGTATAAAGAGAACAGGATGCAGAGCTGGAGGCAGGACCCCGTTCATTCTTATGAAAGCTGCTCAGTGGCACACAAAGCCAAAAAAATTAATTTCCAGGTGTAGAATTACCCAGATCTTCCGCATTCATGGGCTCATAGAGCAAGCACATCAGTGTTTCCTTGCCACATTGTCCACTTGGTCTCTGGCTTGCTTACATTAACGACAGTCAGAAAGTATCTCTGGATTGGGCAGTTAGTGAATTTTCTTTCAGGACATGATGATTTAAATCAGGGCTATTTCAGTGTTCATAGAGGTAAGTTGATGTATGTCACAAAAAAAATATTAATTGATTTATAGACGTCTCTTACACAACATAAGTCAATGGGGAAAAGTTGTTTTGTACCCAATGCCATAATGTTTGGCCACTATGTCAAACTAGCCTCTAAGGCCGATGCTGTTCCCGGGGGCTCTATCCACTGACACTGTCTAATCCGCACCAGAAACCCGATCAGTTCTACACATGTGCAAATATGGTTGGGCTTAGGCACTGACCCTAAATAGTTAGGATCAGGACAGCCTTTTGGGCAGAGGATAGGACCTGAGCTGATCGTGTCTCTAGTATTTAACGGGTAATGACAGTCCACCATCCCGAATTCCGATGTACGCAGACTTTGCCTCTTCATAATACTAATAATCACCACCTAACAATACACCTAAATATGAGTCATAACAAGCAGCTTGTGCAGACAACCTATGTATTCGTTTTTTAGGTCAGGGCGGGCTGTGGCAACTTGTTTTCTATCCTGTTCCTCTGGTAGTCCACCACAAACTGTTCTGCTAATATTGACCTTCAGGTGATGGTCATTGCAACACGAAGTTCTCTATCAGTCCTCTGTCCTCCTCTGTAAAAAAAATAGTCTCTAAGTGAAGACAGCATGTTTTTCACTGGAAATTATTCACTGCAATCATACATGTCAATATACTGATAGCTTCCATTTCGACAAAAAAAAAAAATACATTTAATACCTTTTATTTAAGTTCTAAAAGTTTTTACTCGAAATATTACGTGAGTCTGGAAAGATAAAGATTTAAAGTAACTTGACTGTTTTTCAGAGGCATGCGACCACGAGGTGGTTATAAACTTTTTAAATAAAAAAGCTGGATTACCAAGTGGGCACAGTTGGCAGCTGGTTTAGGATGCCATACAAGTCCCTGGTTCACTGTGTGTCAGTTTGGGTAATTTGGTTAATTGCAAATCTGTTAGGGAATATGCACCAACAATAAAGATGGGTCCTGCACTTGTCGAGGATCCCTGCCTGCATTCATTTATTTTCAGGTCATGTTGTTCTCACATGGTGCACATTCATTAAGAAATTGTTGTTGTTGTTGTTGTATTTAGTTAAATCACCACAAAGAAAACCTGAGGCTAGATAGCAGCTACTGTTCCAGAGCAGGAGTATCAGTTGAAAGAGTGTATACACAATGTACACATTTGTGGGAAGTAGAGAAATGGAGCATCATTAGTGGCCCAAAAGCAAATATTTGCCCAAGGCCTCCCTAAAGGAATCAGCACCAGCATACTGATGTTAACTGTGTTTAGCTAGACTCAA